TTTGGCCTTCAAGAACATACAAACCATGTTGTTTATTACCTTTAAGGACCACCAAAGCACCCTTTTGCACCTTGAGTACTAAACCTTCTGCCTTGTAACAGTAGCCTGCATCATCCAAAGTTCCTAAGGAGATTAAGTTTCTCCGTAGGTTAGGAATGTGCCTGACATTTTTGAGGACATGTGACGTTCCATTCTTCAATTTGAGTGTCACGGATCCAATACCAACCACAGGACACGAGTGATTGTTTCCCATCAACACCTTTCCTCCATGAATATTTTCATACTCTGAAAACCACTCTTTCCTAGGGCACATATGATAAGTGCACACCGAGTCTAGTATTCATTCTTCCTCATTTTGGTTTAGGGTCACATCAAGCATCTCTGAGCTTTCATAACCATCACATTGACTGGCTATTGCAGCATCTCCACCCTCATTTGGTTTCTCATCCAACTACTTCTTCCACTTATGGCAATGTCTTTTTATGTGACCAGGCTTATTACAAAAGAAACATTTCCTCTGACCAGACTTAAACTTAGATCTAGAACTAGGTCTGTTCTTTGATTTTTCTGAATCTCTTTTCTGTGGCATACCTCTTGAAAATAGACCCTAATCACCCCTGGCGGACAATTCATTCTTAATTTATAATTCTCTTGATCTCAAGGCTGATAGTACATCTTTTAAAGTCAAGCTTTCTCTCCCATACTTAATGGCATTCTTAACTTCTTTAAAGGTTTCGGGTGGAGAGATAAGTGTTGCGTGAAAACTCGCAAGTATAAGAATCGTACAAGTAATAAAGTGTACAAAAGTACAGATATCGATCCCACGAGGATTGTGTTTAGCTTTCGTTAAATACTAATATTGATTAGCTTCTAGGATTGTTTTTATATATTTTTATAACAATAACAAGAATGTAATTATGGGCTGTAATTCAATGGTGAAAATGAGCTAGGTCTGCTAACTTCCCCTCAATTGCAAGTCTGACTAAAATGTTACCTAAAATGCTGCAGCATTCACTACCCCTGTTAACAGAAACTCCGTTATTGCATAAAATTCTTCCGAATTAATTATGACTAAGGTTCCTTAAACTATTTTCAGCATATTCCTATGTGAATCCAGCTTCCAGAATGCAGATTTAAACTCAGGTTTCTTTAAGTTATGCAAGGTGAATAATATATTCCTATCCCATCCACTAATCAACAACTAAGCAAGGTTATCGAACAAGCATCACTCATGTTAGATCCGATTAAAACTAACCCTTCTAGTATTAATCTTAATCTTGTATCCTAAAATTGATGGCCAGTCAAGAATAGAAATAGGCATTAATACACATGAATGAACCGGAATAGTAATTTAATAACACCTCAGAAACACATTGTCAACCTTGCAATCTTAGTTCCATTAGCAAACATAGCTAAAACAAATTAGTTCATAATGAGATTTACAGAATTCAAAGCTCCAGAATAAGCCATGGCTAAATTAGTGACTAAATACCAAAAGAGAATTAAGCTAACAGAAAGAAGAAAGAATTTCAGCTGGATTTGGGATTTCTCTTTGTCCGGCCTTGCTTCTTTCAACCTCCTGCCTTCTTCCCTTCTCTCACGTCTCTATATTCTCTTTTATGGAGATAGGTACTCTATGTTTTCTGGAGAGGGGTGCTATCTGTATTTCCTCTGTGTGTCCAACCCCAGAATACCTCTTTTTCTATTTCCTCTCTCTCCTCTTTTTCTCTTCCCCCTGGCGGCTGCCTTTTATTTTTTAGAAAGCATTTCCTCTCTAGGGCAACAATAGGGCTGAGGTGTCACTTGATGATGTGCACAGTGGACCACAATGACACCTACTCAGCCAGCTCACACGGATTCCTTTTTGTCTGCTTTCTCCAGCTAGTGTGCTGTCATCAGCCATATGCCAGCTATTCCCAGAATGCTGCCCACAATGCCGCAACATTTAGCCCAGAAATTTCCTACAAAGAACTCACACAGCATTAGCCAGTTTTTCACCTATTTTACTTCCAAATTACCAACTTTCACTTCAAGAGGTGCAGCAATACGGAATTAGGCCAAAGTACATGCAACTCTACAAATCTAACTTAAAACATACAATAAACGAGAACAATCACTCATGGACACCCAATTTTAGGCTATAAAACCAGTGGATAACTCTAATTTCTTAGAGTTATCAATAAGTAAGATCATGGCATGGTTTTCCTCTTCAATCTTTTCTCCGATATTAGCTAAGTCTATTATTATTCTATTAAAATCATCAAGATTTTTTTCAAGACTCTTGTTGGGATCCATCTTATAACTGAATAAACTTGTCTTGAGATAAATCTTATAGTTAAAGACTTGGTCATATACAACTGCTCGAGTTTGAGCCATACCTTTGCTGTGGTGTCTTCTTCGTTGACTTACCTGAGTACATTATCTGACAGGTACATGATGATGGTTGAAAATGTAATTTCTTGTATCTATTTCTTTTCTTCATCAGTTCCAGAAACATCCTTCATGTCTCCTAGTGCCTTGGCCACTTTTTGCTGAACTAGAATAGCCCTGAGTTTTTTCCTCCATAACCCAAAATCACCGGTCCCATCAAACTTTTCCAATTCGAATCTTGCTGTGCCCATCCTTGTCAATTCCTAATAATCTTGATCAAGAAACTCAAGATTTACCCACGAGCTCCTTCACCGATCATAAACCCTTTGGCTCTGATACCACTGTTGGAGCGATTCCAACACCAACTCGCCGGAATTGCAAAAAACAATAAAACTAAAAACAGTATGAACACAAAAGATTTGTTTGACCGAAGTTCAAAATAAAATTCCTACATTCCCGTTTAGCTCTTCTGCAGAAAAACTCTATCCACTAATCAGAGAAAGATTACACCCTCAATTCCTCACAACACAGAGATTTCGTCGATTACATAAACCCACACCCAAGAGAAAAAACTAAGCAAACAACAAGATGAATTCCCAGTGGAAGAACAAACCCAAGAACTCCCAGATCCCCTTGTTCCCAAACTTACAATATCTCTCTCTCTGGAATCCCTAGAGTTTCTCTCACTAAAATCTCTCTCAGAAGAATACTTCTCTCTCTTTCTTTCTTTTAATTCACCGTGAAGAAGAAAGAGCAAATCAATCGTTCCAGAGCCTTCTAAAACCAATATATAATAAAGTGGTCAACAAGCTAATAGCATTGCCACGTGTACTATTTTGATTGGCTAAAGCTATTAAATATCCAACTCTCCAAATCAAGCCTTTAGTTGCCCCAAAACAACATGCGTTTTAGAGTGTAGGAATTCCTTCTATGTGAATGTCATTTTTATGAGATTAACCTTACACAACATTCACTTAAATTTTATCAATTAATTTTGATCAACGCATATGAGGATTTGTTAAAAGAATAATAATCGATTTTCCGGCCAAAACGGCCGGTCGGGTTTTTAATCCCTTTTAAAAAACCAGTAATTTTCCTGAATTAGGAAAAAGAAAAGTGAGTATACGGAAAAGGATGTGAAATTAGTTCATAAGCAAAGAATTAGTACAAGTCCTTTTGATAATCAAGAATTAGTACAAGTTGATCATAATACGTAAACCTACAAAAGTATCTAAACCAATTGTAGGTCTGCCCGTGAGAGTGATATATCACCCATATATAAGAAAACATATTGTTACTAATAGTAGCTTGTTGTGAACATGGAACCACTTAAATAACAAAAACAATGGGAAAAAGGAGGATAAAGGAGGCTAGTTACTATTGTATTTTCATTGGAGTTTCTAAACATTGAAACTACTATTTACGGAAGAAATAAAGAGAATTACTACTATTATTTTTGGTAAGTTATAAAAGTGATAGTGTTAATCTAAAGCAAGTTTGAATTAAAACCTGGTTTAATCCAAGATCTCTATGCTAGGATAGTTTAGGACATTGTTTAATTTGCATGACTTGTGTTGAGGCAAAAGACCATTAAGAAGACAAAACTTGAATGGTTTCCCTATAAAGGAAAGAGTGAGACAAATAATTTAAAAGCCCGTTTAGTTCGTTGATTTGAGTTTTTAATTCAAGTTTAGACGTGAATTTATGTCAGAGCTTTTTATTGTAACAAAAAAGTTAAATGTGACTTTTTATGAGAGCTTTTTACTGTAATAAAACTCAAATTAATGAAATGAACATAATTAAGTGCATCATACTCAAAAAAAAGGCTATGATTTTTCTCTTCGTGCTAAAATTTTCTACCAAATTACCTTTTTCATTGTTGGGTGATTTGCAAAATGGTTCAAATTCAATTGTTTATGCATGAGCCTACCGAATGCTTCGCTCAATTGAGATTTTTTGTTTTGTATTATTAATTATTTCTCAAATTTGGGATAAAATTGGTCATATGATAAGCAGTTATATTCATAATAGTTATTATTTAAAAAAAATACAATTTTTTTATTATGATATTTCCAAATTCAACCCGTGATGGAAACAATAAATGAAATGTGCATGAGCCTCGTAAAAACACAGTTTTAAGTTACAAGTCTTTTTTTTGTTGTTGTTGTTGTTAATGTTCCTATAAAGAAACACAAAAAAAAAAAAAATAAATAAATAAAACCTACTGTCGTTTCCTTACCTTGACTAAACGACCATATATTGTAAACCGCGTCCTTAGATAATAAAAAAACGACAATTTAACTTTTAAGTTTAAACGATATGGTTTACTAAAATCCCCTCCCAGGACAAGTCGTGTATGATCAAACGTAATCATTCATATATAAGCAACATTTCATCAGTAGGGGGGGAAAAAAAAGGAACAACATTTCATTCACTTTGCAAAAGAAACGGAATTTATAATGTTCACGTCACTTTTTATACACTATAGAAAATAACGACACGTCGTTCAGAATGCAAAAGCAACACCACAATTTAACGACATGCCGTTTGTTTGAAAAGAAAAGGAACGACATCATTTGAAAAGTCGTTCATTTCATTTGGGAAGCCGTCCGTTAAAGCTTAGGGTTTTTAGGGTTTCAGAATCTCGAACCCAAATTTCTCCGCTCATTTCGACTTCCATCCAAAATCGTCTCATTTTCAATTCCGGGTTTACTTGGAATCTTTCCCACTTCATCTCCGAAGCTTGAGATTTGTTAAGTGTCAGAGACAAATTGGCTCTCAACAATTTGTAAGTTCATTTTTCAGACTTGTCAAATTTCAAAACTCATGTCTAAATTTCTACGCAAAACTGTTTTATTTGAAAGTTGTTATGTGAGAACTCAACCAGGAACTAGTAATCTGGGTTTTCTTCGAAACCCAGATTTTTTCTCTCTAAGATGGTTCTCAATTAGCTCAAATCAACACTCTTTTACTGTCTCTTACCTCGTAAACGAACTTGGGTTGTCTTCAAAAGCCGCTTTATCAGCTTCCAAGCTTATTAATTTTGAGAATCCTGAGAAACCAGAAAAAGTCATAAACTTGTTTAAGAAGTATGGTTTCTCTCAGACCCAAATCTCAAGCCTTATCAGACGAAGGCCTTCCATTCTTGTTGCAGACACAGAGAAAGTTATTTTGCCCAAGTTGGAATTTTTTGATGCCAAAGGTGTTTCATGGCCTCAATTTGCCATAAGACTATCTCAATTCCCTACTATTTTGGGAAGGAGCTTAAACAGACAGATTATTCCCACATATGAGTTTCTTAGGAATTTTCTGCAATCTGATGAGAAGGCCATTGCGGCTGTCGAAAGGCATCCGGATGTACTTTTAGTAAATGTTGAGAAATGTTTTGGCCCTAACATTGATATTCTGCGAGAACAAGGAGTTCCTAACTCCAATATAGCTAAACTGATCCCGAGACAGCCACATTCTTTCTCATTAGGTTCGGATCGGTTTCGAGAGGTTGTTGAGGAGGTGGTGCAAATGGGGTTCAATGCAGAGAGGATAAATTTTGTTTATGCGGTTCTTATACTTTCTGGTTTCAGCAAATCAAAGCGGGAAAGTAAGGTTAATGCATATAAGAAGTGGGGTTGGTCTGATGAAGAGGTTTTAAAAGCCTTTCAAACCTATCCTTGGTTCATGAAGGTGTCTGAAGATAAGCTTATGGCATGTATTGATTTCTTCATCAACCGAATGGGTTGGAGACCCTGCCATTTGGCTAAATTCCCAGCAATCTTTACAGTGAGTTTAAAGAAGAGAGTAGTCCCGAGGTGTTTGGTTTTTCAAGTTTTGTTGTCGAAAGGTTTGGTGGAGAAGGATGCTAACCTGAATTCATTATTGATGGCTTCAGAGAAGAGTTTCTTGCAGAGGTTTGTCACGCCTTACAAGGACGACGCTCCAAAACTGTTGAAGTTGTACAACGAAAAATTGGATATTTCGAATGGACCACATATGGATGATTAGATATGTCAAAAAGTATTTTACCAAGTGTGTGGCAAAGGTGATTTTTGACATGTCCATATCATGTGCTGATGGAAACCTTTTGGTTTTCAACTTCATCGAATTGAGGTACATGAGTAGAGATTTTGTTTGCAATTTTTGTTCAACTCAATCTGGTTCTCTTATCTATTCCTGAATGTACACATTTATTCATTTGCTGATTGTGTTTTCCTCTCCTCCCTTTTAGAATCTATTCAAGTGAGCCTGGACTAATTACGCTTTATTTTGATCTAAAACGAAAAAAGAAAAGTTTTAGCATCACCACCTTGTTCATTTCCATTTGTGAGTTCGCATCTCACTGCTAACCGTGATGGATGGTTACAGCATTCACAAAAACATTCATCCTTTTCACGTTCTTGGCTTTCTTTTAAGTGTGATGGTTGACCTTCCTCGCGTTGAGGTCCAAGGCCGGAGCTTTTGATTGCATTTTATGTGCAAATCAATCTTGTAGTCTTAGGAAAATAGGGGGAAAAAAAAAGATTGTAATGGAGAAGTAGAAACTTGAATGAAAAATTCTATTAAATGATTTAATTTACATGCTCCTTGAATAGATTGCACTCTGAATTAAAATTTAAGTACACGCTCTGTACTGTTAGCTATGATTATGATAACGGTTGTAACTAACTTTTCATGTAAATTTCGATTTTGTTAAATGGATTGAATGATTGAAATTTCAGTGTGGGTGCAGATCTACTCGTTTGGCATGAAAGACTCGTTGTTTTAGGCTCAATAAAGTATCAAATATCCTTTTTCTTTTTTGAGAGCTCAATACTTGTTACATTACGAAAGAGTCTGCGGAAAGTTTGCCATGAGATGTTGTATATTGGACTGTATTTAGTGCTGTAGGGGTTTCAATCATTAGAAACTTTAATGGGATGTTTGTTTCAAGAACTTCTGAATCATGATTTTTAATTCTCTACAGTGTTTTTGTCAAAAAATTTAAATTTTAAAAATCAAAATCATGAACTAAACATTTTTTTTTTCTATGTTTTGGATATGCTTTATCGTGTTCCTCCTATTTGGAATTGTCTTCTCAGAATCCCTTCTCTGTCCCGAAGCTTCACTTGCTATAATGATTCTGAAAAAGCATTTGATGCTTCTGCTGATTAATGTCTGCTTATTTTTCATTACTGTAAATCTGTTCTTTTTTTAATTTTCATAATTTACTAGGTTGTTTACACATCCGATGAAAATGGTTTGTCCCCAGAGAAACTAATTTCCCAGATTTGTTATGTAAAAATCATTCACAATTTTTTTTTTTTTTTTTTTTTTGTGTGTGTAACATGAATTCATTTGCATTAGCATGGTTTGGACGAAATAAGTAACAAAGAGAAAGATTCACAAATTTACCTTACGGGCAAAGACAGTGAGGAAAATGCCAGAACACACACAAGATTGACACTGTAGTAATTTGAGTTATGATTTGAGTTGTGCATGTGAGAGAAAAATATTGTAATAAAAATATTAAATTTAAATTTTTATAAGAAAAAATATTGTAATAATATGATTTGATTGAGTGATGAAATAAATAAGGCTATAATTTCTTGGTATGCTATTCCAAATTTACCTATTGGATTGATGACTAAAACAAAAAAAAAAAAATATATATATATATAATTTATCTTTACTTTTAATTTTTTATTAATAACTTTTTTACTAATATAGTTATTTATTTAAAAAAATTAATCAAGAATAATAGATAAAATTTTTTATCAATGAACATTTAAGGAGTATTTATCTTCTTTCTTTTCTTTTACGGTCGTCAATAAAACTCTTCAAGTTTAAACGACATGGTATACTAAAGAGAAATTCTATTTGCAGCCCTAATAATTATAGATACACCCATCAAATTATAATCTACATATATTATAATTTTACCTTACAATGAAATTACGTTAAAACCCATTAAAATTACATCTTTCTATATATAAATCATATCATCTATAAATCGAAATATTAGTTTACTTTTCATATAATAATGGGTAAGAGACACTATCTATGGCTTCTAAAATAATTTTCTTTTAAAAAACTTTATGGGTATTTCAATTGAACTATTTATGTTCCTCTTAAAAAAAACTCTTAATATTTATGTTGAAAAAATGTTTCAAATTTCGCTTGTGGTCCTATGCTCAAAAGTGTTTTTTTTTTCTTGGTTTTTTTTAGAATAGGAAAAACTTTATTATTGTTAAGATTGTTAATTATTTCTTTATAATACAAGATAAAATTAAAATGAAAGTGCTGGTGGGCGTGAGTGGGGGTTGTATGAGAAGGTCCAATCTAGAATCATATAAAAAGTATCTATAAAAGGATCAATTTTTAAATATATATTAGAAAATAATAATTAATTAGGGTGTATTTATAAATTTTATTGGTGTAAATATAACCACTATCCGAAAACCCTAAAAAAAAAAAAAAAAAACGACAGAGTGACAAAGGCACCATAAAAATTTTTGGGAAATAATAGAAAATAGGCCAATATGAAAAGTTTAAGAAAGTATATAGGTCAATTTTTAGTTATAAAAATTAATAGGCCATAATTTGTCAAGTTAAGTTTTATAATCAAATAAGTTATGGACAAACTTGTCAAGTTATGATTCATAATCAGACAAGTTATTGACAATTATGGACAATAACTTATCAATTTATGGTTCATAACCAGACAAGTTATGGACGAAAATATTAATTTGGCCTATTTATTAACTTATGTAAACTATTGGCCTATTAATTTTAATTCATCTCAAATCTTAACCTATTTCCCTCTATCTCCCAAAAATTAACGATTTGCCGTTTGTTTAGAAAGAAAAGGAGCGACAACTTTTGAAAAGTCGTCTATTAGGAGACGTTTGATTGAAGAATTTAAATCATAATTTGAATCATAATTTATGATTTATTATAATATTTTCTTTTAAAAAAATACACATAAATTAAAAATAATTCTAATCACATAATTTTAAATTAAAGTCTGGGTTTTAGAATCCTGACCCTCAATTTCTTCGGTCATTTCGATTTCCATCCAAAGTCGTATCGTTTACAATTTCGGGTTTTACTTTGAATCCTTCCCACTTCATCTCCGAAGCTTAAGATTTGTTAAGTGTCGGGGACAAATTGGCTCTCAACAATCTGTAAGTTCATTTTTCAGACTTGTCAAATTTCAAAACTCATGTCTAAATTTCTCCACAAAACTGTTTTATTTGGAAGTTGTTCTGTAAGAACTCAACCAGGAACTAGTAATCTGGGTTTTCTTCGAAACCCAGATTTTTTCTCTCTAAGATGGTTCTCAAGCAGCTCAAATCAACAATCTCTTACAGTTTCTTATCTCATAAACTCACTTGGGTTTACTCCAGAAGCTGCTTTATCAGCTTCCAAGTATGTTAATTTTAAGAGTCCTGAGAAACCAGACAAGCTCATAAACTTGTTCAAAAAGTATGGCTTCACTCAAATCCAAATCTCTAGCCTTCTCAAGAGAAATCCTATAGTGCTTATATTAGATGCTGAGAAGACCGTTTTGCCCAAATTGGAATTTTTCGACGCCAAAGGTATTTCATGGCCTCAATTTGCCAAAAGATTATCTCAATTCTCTACTATTTTGAGAAGCAGCTTAGACAAACAGATAATGCCATCATATGAGTTCCTTAGGAATTTTCTGCAGTCTGAAGAGATGGCCATTGCAGCTGTTGAAAGATTTCCGGATATATTGAGGGTAAATCTTGAGAAATGTTTGGGCCGTAACATTGATATTCTGCAAGAACATGGAGTTCCTAAATCCAATATAGCGAAGCAGTTTCCGATCCGGACTCAAGCTTTCACATCAAGTCGGTTTCGAGAGGCTGTTGAGGAAGTGGTGGAAATGGGGTTCGATGCAAAGAGGGGTACTTTTGTTCACGCAGTTCTTGTACTTCTTGGTTTGAGCAAATCAACTTGGGAAAGGAAGGTTAATGCATTTAAGAAGTGGGGTTGGTCTGAGGAAGAGGTTTTGAAAGCCTTTCATAGCAATCCTTCCTTCATGACGCTATCTGAAGATAAGCTTATGGCATGTATGGATTTCTTCATCAACCAAATGGGTTGGAGGCCCTGCCTTTTGGCTAAATACCCAACAATCCTTAAACTGAGCTTGAAGAAGAGAGTAATACCAAGATGTTCTGTTTTTCAATTTTTGTTGTCTGAAGGGTTGGTGGAGAAGGAGGTTAGCATTACTGCGTTGTTGCTAGTTTCAGAAGAGAAGTTTATGCAGAAGTTTGTGGTGCCGTATGAGAAGAACTCTCCGAAGCTGTTGAAGTTGTACGAGGAAAAAGTGGATCTTTCAGTGGACAAGAGAGTGATAAATGATGATAAGGTATAAGGATTCGAGAAGTAACTTTTTACATGTTCATCTCATGAGCTGTTGTTGATCTATTTGAATACTTTCCAGTTTTGAACTTCCTTGAGTTGAGGTCCAAGACTGGAGCTTTTATCTGCATGATCGTTTTTTAGACTAGTTTAATCACATTTTACATTCAGATTAATAAAGCACTGCAGCATGTAGCCTTCGAATTGGTAGTATGAGTAATTCTGAAAATCTTAGCAGCCCTCCACTTAAGGGGATTGATCTGTTCATTGTGCTTCACACTCTTCCAAAATGAAATACCAAAATCAGCTAAAGTTATGGTAGAAAGAAAATGGTTTATGTGATTCTTGTTTGAATGAGATGAACCATATATCTTCAATAGTGAATATTGGTCCACAAGTTTATTAAAAAGTTAATGTGCTTAACCCTTGATTATGATTGTCTCAAATATTTGTTTGAAGAAGTTGTTCGAAAGCTTTACTACGTGCTACGAGCTTTCTTGAACTTGTGATTACTTCTCAATTTGGGAGTGACTTGATGTTCTTTCCTTTCCTGTCGAGGAAGAATGTAAGCCATTGTATACTACGAAAAGAGAACAACAACAACCAAAAAAAAAAAAAAAGCCAAAATCCAATTAATGTTGTCATTTTGTTTTTTTTTTTTTTTTTTTGAATAATTAAAAAAGGAGTGATCTTAAAACATGCCCTCCCTAGTCTCTAGTTCCAGTTTGTTTTTTTTTGCTTTTTTTTTTTTTTTTTTTTTTTAATTTTAAAGTCCCGTCATTTAAGAGATGGAAGATAAACAAGTGTTCTCAGTGCGTTTTTTCTTTGAACTTTTCATGAATTGGTAAGTTGCTCTCCAAGTTTTTAATCCTCAATTATTCCCTGATTTAATAGTGTTTAAGATGATGCTAGAAGGATTTGGAGCAAAAGCATGTTCTGGAATCATTTGCAGAAGTTTGGTGAGTTAGTTCAGACAGTTTACTGCTCTCAATTGCTAAGCCATTCCGACTTGAGGATTTAGAATTATTCTGTGTGGTCTTAGGTTGTACGGAAATATCGCAACAAATACACACATGGAGAGAAGACCAAAGCTGCTGATGAAATTCTTCGAATGGCTGAGTATGTGGCTGCGGGATTTCAGTCTTTTTCAGTATAAACAGGGAACAAAATGGATGAGAAATGGCAAGCTCCAGCAAGGGGATCCCTCGAACTAAACGTTGATGCTTCTGTTATCCCAGCTGAAACTAGCATTGGAGTTGGTTGACTGATCCGAGATTCTGAAGGTAGAGTGCCCGGCGCTTTCTCGAAACAGGTGGCTGGCTTGTTTACTCCTCTTATGGCAGTGTGTAGCTCTGAGAGAAGGTCTTCTCTTTTGCCAAAGGCCTTCGTGTTTCCTTGATCGAGATAGATTCAACGAATGCAACACGTGCAGTCAATGGCAATCATTGTTTTGTTGCGGAAGATTCATGCCCCGTTCATTTCACCGATTTAAATTTTGTTACAGTAAAAAGCTTTCAGAAATAATCATACCTAATAAAGTGTTTGTTTCACAACTCAAATTAAAAACTCAAATTGTGTTTGTGAGAGAAAAACATTGTAGTAAAAAAATAGAATTTAAATTTTTATGAAGATAATACGTAGCAATAGAACTTGAGTTGTGAAAAGAACGAAACAAAACTTTTTTGTTATAATAAAAAGTTCTCATATAAAGTTACATCTCAATTCGAATCAGCAAATTAAACGGGGTGGACGTTGGAGTTCAATCATTCAGAACGTTTGAGTCCTAATATTAGAAGCCAGTGGTGGTTTATGTATCCATATTTGTCGCCTGAGTAATATGACTGCCTATGCATTAACACAATTAGCATTTTTCTTTGAGTGGAGGATGCTCTTGGTTGACAAGTTATCGTAGTTGTATAAGTATTAAACGTTTGTTACAGTTGATATGGCTAAAGCTTCATTAATAAAATCTAGCTTTCCCTTAAAAAAAAAAAAAAATACTTTATATCAATTTTAACACGTATCATCCAATACTCTGGGATACGTTACTAAATTCATTAACAACCTGTTTCTTTCAAAAATTTTGAATATAAATTCAAAGTTTTCTTAGCAAAAATATTTAAATTGTGATTCAAAATCTTAAAACAAAGAAATTATAAGTAATTTTTTCGCAATTAGAATTTTAAAAAGTAACTTGTAAATTAGGGAAAGAAAAAAGGGAAAGATAAAGGAGGATGTTTAAAGTGAAAGCAACAAGTCCCGCAATAAACAACATTTACTTATCGTTCAATCCATGGTGCAAACTGGAAACATTCCCATTTCTAAAAAATAATAATATTATTAAAAATAAAAACTACAAACTCATTCCTTTTGCCTGGATATAAACGACACGTAGTTTATTTCGTGCCAAAAGTTTAAGCAAGATATCCAACAAACGAAACGTCAGCAACATTTAATAATAATGAAAATGGGTGTGCAAGTAGTTTATTAATATGAGTTTGCATGTTTAAGATTTTTAAAAAAGCTTTTTTATATATTTATTAATAAGAGTAAATTCATTTTTTTCGTGTCCTAAAAAACTTTTGAGCTGTTAAAATAAGTTTTTTTTTTTAAATATTGAGATACTGACATAAAATTATTAAAAATAAAGAGTACTAAATACATATTTTGACATAATACAAAGTATCAAAATGAAATTATTCTTAAAAAAAATACTCATTTCTGTACCTTGACCAAACGACCATGTATTGTAAACTGCGTCCTTCAGTCATTAATATAAAAATGACATTTTGAGCTCATGGTTCACTACAACCCAAAAAAGACAGGTTGTTTATTTTGATCAAACGTCACAATTGATGTACAAGCAGCATTTCATTTTTGAAAAGAAACAGAGAGAGAATATTTAATGTTATGTCAGTTATGACTTATTACACTAAGACAAGAACGACACGTCGTTCAGAGTTAAAAAGCAACATCAATTAACGATATGCCGTTTGTTTGATAAGAAAAGGAGCGACACATTCGTAGATGTCGTTGTAACAATTGGTTCTTAATAATTTGTAAGTTCATTTCATTCGGCTCCAATTCCAAATCCCATCTCTAATTTTCTCCGCAAAACCATTCTATTTGGAATTTGTTATGCAAGAACTTCACCAGGAACTAGTAATCTGGGTTTTCTTTGAAACCCAGATTTTTTCCCTCTCAACTCTAAGATGGTTCTCAAGTGTAAGCTCAAATCAACAATCTTTCTCTTACCTCATAAATGAACTTGGGTTCTCTCCAAAAGCCGCTTTATCAGTTTCCAAGCGAGTTAATTTTGATAGTCCTGAGAAACCAGAAAAAAGTCATATACTTGTTTAAGAAGTATGGTTTCTCTCATACCCAAATCTCAAGTTTTCTTGTTTTAAATACATGTCCCGTTAATTTTACTGATTCTAATTTTACTACAGTAAAAAACTCTCAGTCATATTTAATTTTTTTATTACAGTAAAAAATTTTCACATAACATCACATATAAACTCGAATCAGTGAACTAAACAGGTTTAAAAAAAAATCATTTCGCCCAAGTTTAGAGTTTTTTGATGCCAAAGGTGTTTCATGCCTCAATTTGCCAAAAGACCATTTCAATTCACTGGTATTTTGGGAAGGAGCATAGATAAACAGATCAGGCCATCATATGAGTTTCTTAAGAATTTTCTGCAGTCTGATGAGAAGGCCATTACAACTGTTGAAAATTATCTGGATATGCTCATCGTTTTAATTTAAAAAAAATAAAATAAAAGGAGTACCTCAAACTTGATCTGGCTAGTCCCTTCCTTGTTCTATTAAAAAAGTAACGCTTTTATTCTTTGAACTTAATCATGAATTGGTAAATCAATAAAATTATCCCAAAATTTATGTGTTGCAAAATACTCCAAATCAGTGATGACTGTTGAAACTTGTATGAGATTCCCTTTTAGGCAAGTAACATATCACTTATGTGCTTCTCGTCGTTCAAGTTACTCTATGTCGTCTATTTCTTGCAAAAAAAAAAAAAGGGGGGAAAAAACGACATCTTTATTTCTTGCCAAAAGCTTAAGAAAGACATACAACAAACGACACATCTCTCATTCGTTCAACGACGCAACGCAAACAGTATATCATCGCCTTTTGATCAGACTAAAAAAGCGACTTGTCGTTTACTTCCTCTGGAAACGAGCGACATATTTTTGTTTCTGTTTCCAGAAGGAAAAAAAAAAGAAGTGACCTATCATTTAAATTAAATTTTTTTTTAAAAAAAACGTAAACGTTGGATGATTTAACGTTAGATAAGGACTTGTTTTTTTAGAGTTTAACTTGAGTATAATTCTTGAGTTGAATTTGAGTTATAACTTGAGTTTGTGTTTGATTGTATACATTTGAGTTATGATTTGAGATAAGAATCTTTTTAAGTTTGTGTTTGAGTGAGTCAAAACTTGAATTTGTATTTAGATAGTATTTTAATAAAAACTCAATGTTGATGAAAAATTTTAATATGGTATATGAGTCGGGTTTTATTCGTCTTTTCGTTGTCAACGCATAAAAAAAAATTATTTCAATCAGAATTAAAACGAAAAAATTATAACATTTTTAAGAATAGAAAAAATGCTATTCATTAATTTGAGTTCGAGTTTCTGAACTCGAGTTGAAGGGGAAACTTGAACTCGAGTTTTAGTCCTAAACTCGAGTTTAAATTCGAGTTTAAATTTAAAAGAGTTCATACTCAAGTTTAAATTTAAAAGAATATAAACTCGAATAAAATTGTAACTCGAGTTAATTTTTTTTAAAATTTTTCACTCAAAATAACAAACCCTAAATCTCGAGCTCAAGAGTCGAGTTAGGGTTTCAAGATCAACACTCAACGGAAACAAAAATGGTGATCGATGAGTTTCAGCAGCAAAAATGGCGACTTTCAAATTCCATTCTTTATATCTGACGTGTTTTCAATCGGAATGGCTCCTACCAGAATCACTCCGTTTCAACTCTGAATTTTTGATTTTTACTTGGAATTCTTCGATTTGTAAAGCGACGGAAACAAATTGGGTCTGAACAATTTGTAAGTTCATTTCATTCGTCTCCAATTCCAAATCCCATGTCTAATTTTATCCGCAAAACTGTTCTACTTGGAAGTTGTCAAGTAAGAACTTCTCCAGGAACTAGTAATCTAGGGTTTGTTCGAAACCCAGATTTTCTCCCTCTAAGATGGTTCTCAAGTAGCTCAAATCAACCCTCTTTTACAGTCTCATACCTTATAAACGAACTTGGGTTCCCTCCAAAAGCCGTTTTATCAGCTTCTAAGTCTGTTAATATCGAGAGTCCTGATAAACCAGAAAAAGTCATAAAGTTGTTTAAGAAGTATGGTTTCTCTCAGACCCAAATCTCTAGCATTTTCAGAAGAAGGAGTCATCTACTTTTAGCGGATACAGAAAAGAGTATTTTGCCCAAGTTGGAGTTCTTTGATGCCAAAGGCGTCTCATGGCCTCAATTTGCCAAAAGTCTATCTCTATTCCCTACTGTTTTGAGTAGGAGCTTAGATAAACATATAGTGCCCTCTTTCGAGTTCCTTAGGAATTTTCTTCAGTCTGATGAGATGGCCATTGCAACTGTCGAAAAGTATCCGAATATACTCATCGTAAATGCTCAGAAATGTTTAGGCCGTAACATTGACATTCTGCGGGAACATGGAGTTCCTAACTCCAACATAGCTAAACTGATCCCAAAAGTTCAGATCGCTTTCGAGAGGTTGCTGAGGAAGTGATGAAAATGGGCTTCAATGCGAAGAGGATAGATTTTATTCAAGCGGTTCTTGCACTTGTATGTGTGAGCAAATCAACGTGGGAAAGTAAGGTTAATGTATTTAAGAAGTGGGGTTGGTCTGAAGAGGAGGTTTTGAAAGCCTTTCGAAACAATCCTTGGTGCATGATGTTGTCCAATGATAAGCTTAACGCGGGTATGACTTTCTTTATCAAAGAAATGGGTTTGAGGCCTTGCCTTATTGCCAACCAGCCAGTAATCCTTACACTGAGCTTGAAGAAGAGACTAATCCCGAGGTTTTCGTTTTTTCAAGCTTTACTCTCAAAAGGTTTGGTGGAGGAGGAGATTAAGTTGCATCAACTATTTGTTGTTCCTGAAAATAAGCTCCTGCAGAAGTTTGTCGTGCCTCATGAAAAGGAAGCTCCAGAACTGTTGAAGTTGTACAAGGAAAAATTAAATCTTTCAAACAAACCAGAGATTAATGATCAAGCATGCTGAGAAGTATCATGAGATGCATTGCAGTTCATGTGCAAATTAAAGGTTTTGTTTGATCTAATTGAAAATTTTTCAGCTTTGTTCTTCCTGAGTTGAGTAGCTCCGTCGCAATTTTTAACTGTTGCAGTGAATTATTAGTTTACATCAACTTCAATAGACTAAACTTTCATTGGATTGCAAGTTGAGATTGCTGCAATTTTGTTTGCTAACAGAAGCTAAACATTGTTTGTAACTAACAATTAGCTAAACTGTCCTATCAGGTGGTTTCTATTTCTGTGTTCTGTCTTCTTAGAATCAAACATGGATGTTGAAGGCACATTCGCTCAAAGGACCCAAGTTAAGAAAGTAAAACGAGTCACGAGTCTAAAATACTCTAATCAATACTGACTAGGAATAATCTTCTTATGTTTATTGAATCTCTCGCTGAAAGTATGATCAAGAATAAGTCGTTTAGTCACCGTGCTCTTGGCTTGCAGTTCATGCTACGATGCTAATCTCAGAGAATTTTGTTTCTCCAGGTTGTAAATGAATCCAAAAATAACCAACATGTGTACATGTTACTATGTTAGATTGGTAATAATGTTCTGCTTTTAAGTGAGTTGGAGAATGCCTTATGGAAACATATTATGTTGTTCTTGTCTGGTGACTAGTTGAAGTTGAGACCCAATTTGAGCAGTCAACAAAAGATGGAGACATTTAGCATTTGCATTTATCTTCAATTGCTCCTGAAATTGCTTGTTAAATTTGTCCATGAACCCCCAATAGTTTTTTGTTTATTATTATTATTATTATTATTATTATTATTTATTTACCATTATCATCTTGTTGTGTTCATTTCAAATACACCACAATCACATTACATAGAAAACCGTCTTACTCTTCATTCCTCAAAAGACTCTTCCATAGTGATAAAGTAAAGAATGTCCTAACGAATCATAAGCACGAAACGTTCTAATGTTCAATGTCACACTATTGTGCTTCCACACACACAGCCTTGGCTTTGTTACAATCAAAAGGGAATGTTCCACTAATTCCCAGGCCGAAGAACCGAAGTTGTTGCAAGCTGAATTCAGTACTTTCCGGCTAACCAAACCTGCTGCTATTCGTAGCGCTTCGTGATAAGCCTTCCAAGCGAAAATCTTGACGTTGAGGATATGAAGAACTGTCTTCCAAGGATTTGGCGAAGCAATAGCACCATTTTAAATTTGCTATTGCAACATGAACGGGTG